ACCTTGGTCTTTAATTTCTTGGTGAAAGTGCAGGCTCGAGTTTACCTCAGATTGTATGAAATGTAAACACCAAGGTCTGTTGGAACCATCCCACAAAGGGAAAGTTGACTATTGGCAAGTTGGAACCATCCCTCGTGACTTGGCTTGTCATACAGTTTTGTCATACAGTCTTGTCACACTTTATGCTTAGATCTTAACATGAAATGGTCTCATGAGGCGGTCTCAGTGTTTTCCTTTATTTCAAGTTCAAGTGGGTACATCAAGGACAGGAATTGACTATTGAACAATATAGGATATCATTATTCCTGAGTGAGAGAGTTAGTTAGTTTAGTTTTACGCCGCTTTTAGCAATATTCCAACCATATGACGGCGGGAGACATTGTTCATGGGCTTCACACATTGCACCTGGCGTGACGAGAGAACGCTGTAATCACGAGGCTACCCCACCGCCCCAGTTATTTCTAAAGCTTTTTAGGAAGTTAAACACCTTGGCCAAATAACCTTGATGATTTTGCCAACGCATAAAGAAACAGGTCCCCAGGGAGGGGAGTACAACTGGTGCCTACCGGGATGCCTACTTCTTGTCTAAATACTTTACCCCAAATTTCACATATATGTAATCAGTGAGGAAGTCCGGCATTTCATATATTGTTTCCTTGGTCAACTTCATTACCATTCATTCAGTTGCCATTTGCTTTCAATTTGTACAAGTTTACCTGAACCCCTTAAGATAGATATGTCTGTATATCTATGGTCTAGGTTTCTATTAACTAATGGCCCATGGATCAAAGAATGACGTTTTAACTTAAATTTGTCATTTGGGATAGTGGCGTTGAAAGTCAAAAAGATACAATGTTTTGACAGAACTGAACTTTCCGAAAGTCTTTGCTGAGATTGTCAACATTCAAGCAATTCCTTTGCGTTTTTGAGAATCCATATGGTATTAATTCCACATTCAAATACATTCTGTGAGAGCCCTTTCTTGATAATAGTAAGGATTATGGTTAATGTTTGATTCAGGAATATCTCTCTCTTTGTATGGATTTTTATGGAGGTTTGGAATCCAGTATAAAAGAGGAATGAACATGTTTTCAGGTTTTAGAGTCAAGCCAAGAATTATCATTTGGAAGCCAATGTGTCTACAGTCTTTGATCTCACAATGCCTACATATTTGTACATGAACAATACGTATCATACAATGGCCATGTGTTATACTCATCATTTAATATAATGCATCAACGCCAGAGAATAACCAGTCTTGATTATTCCACTAGATGTAGAAGACGAAAATAGTTACCAACACGGATCACGGATAATCGGGGTTTCCGCGTAAAGTGAGTGAGTGAGTATGGTTTTACGCCGCTTTTAGCAATATTCCAGCAATATCACGGCAGAGGACACCAGAAATGGCTTCACACATTGTTCCCATGTGGAGAATCGAACCCAGGTCTTCAGTGTGACGAGTGAACGCTTTAACCACTAGGCTACTCCACCGCCGTTTCCGCGGAAAGGGTAAGAGTAAGCATATAATGCATTTTACCGGCATCACCCGCCATTTAACAGCCTGCAGTACTGTTTCAAGGTTCATTTGCCTCTCGGTATCAAGAATCCTTTAATTTGAACTGGTGTGTGTTTGTAAGGGCAAGGAGCATATAGGTTGCGTTGTCATGACTACTATAGCATCCTATTTTTTTCACACGTTACCATATATTTTTTGGGTTAGAAACGTTAAAGTGTAAAACTTTCAGTTCTTAAACATCGTTACGCAGGAACAAAACCTTTAGAGAATTCAAGAAATTCCAGCCTACGCACGTCCATGTGTTGATCTTTGCTGTAATTGGCCTATTTAAATTTGAATTGCTTGTCATAGGATTAAACAACCGAACACGATCGGGTTCCAAATTATATTTATTTTGGAAATTATTTTCTATATTTTCCCGTTTCTGAATGAGATCATTTACAACACAGCGGGCGAGATGTTGATGGCCCCTGCCGCTTCGTTACGCACGTCTCTGTGTATGCCGTTACCAAACAGACTGTATTGTCAGTACACACATTCTTACTCCACGTGATAATCATATACAACGTTAACACCAGAGAATGGTCAGACTCAAGCGTCTGCTAAAACAGATTCCAGAGAGCGCAAACGGCAAAATAGTCATGAAACTATATGAATGACTCACAGAAAATCAATAATGACACCGGGTGTTCGCGAAAGAGTCCAGATTTAGGAACCGACCATGCTCAAATTAAAGAACTTTTATGTCTGAAATTCACATGAATCACGATGGTGGGTGGCGATTAGAAATGGTTCATTAGCTGATATTTTCTGTAAAAAGGTATTTGAACAACTAAAATCTAGCTGATTCTACTTTCCTCACGTTTTTCTATAACCAAATTTATATCGGTGTTGGCAATTCAGCTATTTGTCACGAATTCGAACTTGAAATGTCCATGTTTTAGCTGACAATTACAGTGGAGACCGAGAGAGCGCCTAATGATGAAGACTATTATCTCTGATATGACAGCCTTTGATAACCCCAAGAAAGGATACACTTGCATGTACATTACACAGAGATCCTTACGAGCTGTGGTAGTTCTGTACAGCACTCCTAAGTGTTCCCACTGTGATTCTGTTTCTCGGTTATACATGATTAATAAAGGCGAAGAAACCCATCACCTGTAGATGCCTCCAATGTCATAAGTTAAACACTTTGAATCAACAAGTGCCATGATTCGCGTGTATGTCTGGAATTGTGTCTGTATTCCTGACATTACAGATTACCATTGCTGTCACGTTTTACCAATACCGTGACAACAAACACTATTGTATTCCCCTGGCATCGACAGTTTGCTGGCATTCTTTTTACATAATGGCAGTATATTCAGTTATGATTAATACAAACGAGAATAAGTAAGCTGTAGTCGTAAATCAAACAATTTTCACACTTTTAAGTTGTCGAATATGTATATTAATATATCAGATTATATTGAAATGAACGTGTTTGATACATGTCACATGAATTTTACATTGTTCCTGTCAAATATAACAAAGCACATTACTGCCGAGAACAGTGGTTTAGAGACAATAAGTACGTATCTCTCCCTATGAATATTTTGGGGTAATTGCTCCACAGATAATGTAACAAAACATGCTGGTACATTCTTCTGAAACGTGACATTTCAATTCCCTTGGGAATGTATGACTTTAAGAAGAGTCAGATTAACGACATGGTCCTCTCTGTTTGCAGACAATTGGAGACATCAGTTCGTTTTTTTAGAAAAATCTTCTTTATCTGAAGGTGTTTTATCTTTGAGCTCGGAAAACCATCCATCACAACAAACAAACAATACGGACACGACTTCGCCGTGGGCTTTCTTTGATCTTTGCCTTCGTAAACACAAATGTATTACCTTCTTAAAAAATAGCAAGCTGCAGAGAAAGAAAACATGTTACAACTAGGCCTGTGATAGAACACCTTTAAAGCTTTTTTATTCCAACGCAAGTGAAATATATATTTTAAATTGTAAAAATTTAGAGGCAAGTTTATACATTTTTTATAAAAGTGAATTAAGTATGTGTTTGGGCTGTTTCTTTGAAGTTTGGGCACCATTTGCAGCGACTAAGAAACACCGCCATTGCATGTTGTGTATTCACAGGTGATGCAGTGGTCCAAACGAATCGATCGTGTGTATTGATTTGTTTGCTGACTGTTCAGTTTGGGACTGAAGTTCTTTGCTTTACATTCTCGACGGGAGTTGACGTCATCGTAGCTCTGGATCTAAAGAGAAGGCACAGAAACTTTCTGTTGAGAACTGAAAATAGCATGATCTACCATCATCGCCTGTGAATTGTCTACAAACAATACATAATGAAAATGATTTTTAATGTTTTTTTGAAAGGTCAATTCAAGCCATGCGTATATAGAATGTTATTATATTATATCAATTTCTACTTTAATGGACTAAATGACACGGATCAAAATCTGGATGTCGTCACACTACCTCAAACTGAATGATGATAAAACTGAACTCATAGTTTTCCACCCTAAGCGTCTCCAACCCAGTATCTCTCTTCCTAAATTCAGCATCGGTCAGTGTGAGATTCAGCCAAACCATGAGGTGCGAAACTTGGGAGTTATTTTTGATTCTTCACTGTCCATGGAGCCACACATCAATAACATCTGTCGAAGGGCGTACTACCACATTCGTAACATCGGCATGATTCGACGATACCTGGACGTCAAGACTACAGCATCTCTTGTTCAGGCATATGTAACATCTCGTCTTGACTACTGTAATGCGCTTCTTGCTGGCCTCCCAAACAATCTTATACACAAGCTTCAGAAGGTGCAGAATACTGCAGCCAGAGTGGTCTCTCTGTCAAAGAAATCGGACCACATTACTCCTGTTCTTCACTCACTTCATTGGCTTCCCGTCCACTACCGCATAAAATATAAAACTCTACTCCTTGTTTTTAAAAGTTTACATGGTCTAGCTCCTCAGTACCTCTGTGATCTGTTCCACCGTTATACTGCTGTACGTTCTCTCCGATCAAATGACCAGTGTCTTTTGACAATTCCTGTGACTAGGACAAAAACATATGGTGACAGGTCACTTGAGATGGCTGGGCCTCATCTCTGGAACAATCTTCCATCTCACCTCAGAACACAACCAGATTTAGCTGTTTTTAAATCAAATCTGAAGACATGTCTCTTTGGTGAAGCATTTGAACTATATGTGATATCTTGACCATCTTAGAGCCAGAGCGCCTTTGAGCGGATTACGGATATTGGCGCTATATAAGTATTTGTATGTATGTATGTATGTATGTATCATGGGCAAACATGGAAAAAAGTGTCCCGACTAATTTGACACGTGGGTCCAGGGAAGAGAATTCCCCTATAAAGTATTCATATCACATGTCACCTTAGGTCTTTTAGACTATAACTATCGATCGATGGCTACCTTTATACACACATGTCCCCTTGTTTCACCAGGTGCCCAGTGTAACAGGGAAACCGTGGAGAACATCGAGTGGACGAGGACGAAGGCAGAGAAGAACATCAGCATTGTGTGCCCGGGTCAGGAGGCAGCGGAGAAGAAGAACCTTACCGTGGGTAGGTACTTGATTTGACCGGGATCGGGTGGTCAGGCTCGCTGACTTGGTTGACATATGTCATCGGTTCCTAATTGGGCAGATCGATGCTCATGCTGTTGATCACTGGATTGTCTGGTCCAGACTCGATTATTTACAGACCGCTGCCATATAGCTGGAATATTGCTGAGTGCGGCGTAAAACTAAACTCACTCACTCACTCTCTTACTTGATTTGACCCGTAGCTGTATGGCAGAACAGGCCCGCCTAACCTCGTGTCCTGAGTGAATTCGTGATAGGATGATATCTGTCCGCGCAGTAGCAATTTTAAGCTGTATCACAACGGAACAGAAAACCCAGTGTTTGATTGTATGAGTATCGAAGCTGGAAATCACAAATCACAGAGCCTGTCCATGAGATCACCATTGTAGTTCGTTCTTACAAGACGTTTTTACCCAGGACCTATTCTGACGCAAGACCATCAGAGGATGATAGCTCATCCATGGTTCGCGTTCAATACGTAGCAGAGACCTATTCCGACCCAGGACCATGAAAGGATATTAAGTCATCCGTGTTTCGCGTTCACGATGTACTAGAGACCTATTCTGAACCAGGACCATGAAAGGATAGTAAGTCATCCGTGTTTCGCGTTCACGATGTACTAGAGACCTATTCTGAACCAGGACCATGTTTTGGTCGTCAGCAGTCTGAGTTCTCACTTCATCATTCCTTTCGTGTTTCTTAGACTCGCGATCTAACTCAGTCCAAGAACTCGTTGACAATAGGATCTTAGCGCATCTCCGTACTTTAACACTGTCGACATATATAGGTGTATCGATGAAGTCCCTTTGTAGAAAGATGCCCAGAGTATCTACGTGGACTATCGTAACCCTACACTCAAGGGTTGCTGTGAGAGACGGCTTTGGCGTGTAAGCCTATTGATAATGTGACCCCACGTCTGGTGCAGATAAACTCGAGTAGAGAGTTGCATTGAAACTGTAAGGCGCATCTAGCACAACCGGTACTCAAGTTCGTACAGCCGTCTCCATAATCACATGTCACTCGCCAGAACGAAAGATGAAAGACACAGCTCCAGGGAAGGCAAAGTACAGAAAGATCCTGTTGAAATGACGCTGGAATTATGTACACATAATCCGAAGGACACAAAACGTGTGGTATTTATAGCACATGCGTTTCTATTCACTCTGTTTGAGAAACGTTAAAGTATCAATTTATGAATTTCCTTTTTCAAGACCCTTTTCAATGTTGAAAACCAATATAACCGGGGTCCCGTTTTCAGTGAGTCAGTGGGTCCGTTGACGTCGCCGTACCATGGTTGCTTTTGTTTGTTTGTTGTCTGTAAATAATCGAGTCCAGTGATCAGCATCATGAGCATCGATCTACGCAAATGGGATACGATAGGTGTCAACCAAGTCGGCGAGCCTGACCACCCGATCCCGTTAGTCACCATAATTGCTTTGTAAAACGAGGCCCGTTCCAGAACATGTGTAGTTCTGCCGGATAAAGGATTATTCTTTGGATTATTTTGGATACAAACTTACATTCAAGCTATCTGGAAACTCGCATTTTGTTTCTTTTGTTTGTATGTTTGTTTAACGCCGCACTCAGCAATATTCCAGCATTTTGACGGCGGCCTGAACATTGTCTGGATTAAACAATCCTGTGATCAACATCATGGGCATCGATCTTCGCATTTGGGATACGATTACAGGTGTCAACCAAGTCAGCGAGCCTGACCATCCAATCCCGTTAGTCGCCTCTTACGACAAGCATGGGTTGCTGCAGACCAATTCATGGGTCAAAGGCGTAGTACCATAATTGCTTTCTGAAACGTAACCCAGCCATATGCATGTTCCAGAACATTGTGCCGGATTAGCGTTTCTTTGTGAGAGTTGTGGATACAAACTTACAGAGATCTGGCAACTCGCTTACTGAGTGTGGTTCTGAATTGTGGCCAGAGATGTTAGATTGTGCGAATTTCGTTTCAGAAAGCACTGTTAGCGCTAAGACTGTCCTACTCGCATACTCTAAACACAGAGGCCTTGTCATGAGGCCTTGTCGACAGGAGCTCGGGACAGCAAACCATCTAGGTTCAGTCGATTCTAATCAATGTTTTCATTATGATAACCAAATCTGGCAAGTAAATACCAGTGACTGTATATACAACACCCTATTGATGAGATGCAAATCACCATCCAAATCAAAGTGTTAGTGGTCAATGAGGTTCATCTTTAAATATTTACCGGTGTTTAAGTGTGCAAGTCGAGGGGTCACGCTAGCCGATCGACCAGACACAACAATCTGAAGGTGGAGACTTGAACGAGCATTGGGAATCTGATTAGGTCGTGCAGTCAACTGATTAAATGTCACAGATCTTTATATTGTCTTGATGTGTGTCGACGCAAAAGGTCATAAGTAAATTTATTTCCAGAAGTTTAGGTCTGTGGTAGCATAGCTGTTTCTTGGAAAACCGGAAAAACATGTTCACGTTTCCGTTTTTAGTACCCGTGACCTTTGTAAACATCAGCCTACTTGCTTGCCGGAAGACCCCCCAAGAAGAACACGCATACGTTCATGGCATATTGCAGATGTGTTTTGGGACATATTTTATGCATAAAATACTCAACTTCATTTGTTTAGAATGCTGTCAACAATGCTATTATAACATGAAAGGTCATTTTGATCTTCCAAAACCCTTTATTATGCAATTGTAACTATGAAATGACATTTTGTCAGATTGAACGTAGTTCTAAAATTACATTTGAATTATACGAACAACAGTCCTATTTCGAAACTATGTATAAGACGAATACATAATGACTATAAGAAAGTGGTCAGATGCAAAATATGCTATATTTGGGATTGCATTTTCAAAGTGTTGTACCATTTTCTATTACTTTTTGGTGTCGGGTCCCATTCGGGATTCGAACCCGCAACGTCAGACTGGAGCACCTAATGAGTTAGTCGCTGGCCAGTATATCAGGTGCTACACTCTGAGAAGTGGGTTCGAATCCCGGATGGGACTCAACCCCAATAAGTTATAGAATCTGCTGAGAAAGTGTAATCCCAAAATGTAATATATGTTGTGTAAGTCCACAGCAGGCTTCAAGCAGAGGAACATAAAACTATACCTTATCATTTGTGTATCAGAACCATGGTATGTAATCTCGCCACTCATTACCGGGACTCTAATAATGAGAAAACATTACATGTATTTAGCTATATATTTTTTTGGTTTTTCTCTTACTTCCAAAGGAACATTCTATCGATTTACCCAAAATTACATCCAAACATATAATTGTACACCCATTGATCTTGCAAACGGTTTCAAGCCCCACCAAGGTATTTCCCCTGAAGCTTCCACGGAGTTAATTAGCGGATCTGTTCCGACCGTCTGTAGAAGGCAAAACTGAACAGATCAGGTATTGTGACGTATCTTATCATCAGCCGCAGACCCTCCCAATCAAATACCATGATGCAATCCTTCTTACAGAGGACCAGACCAGCCATGGCTAACGATGAAACAGTTTCCTGGCTTCTCGTCAGGCACAATGTGCATTTGGAGGATCACCAAGTAACACGCACATTCACGACCGTGTTCTATAAAGAATTCCAGAGTTACTTATCGATTGAGGCGAAACCCTTTTGACTTCCATGATCCCGTTACGACACCTATCTGCCATGCCGGTTGGCAGCGGTTAGTCATTGAAAGCCTGGCCTGGAGAAAGAGCTGGAAGGATTTCTCCAATGATTTCATGCTTACCACCATAGACTGCTGAGTATGACAGTTCCAGTTGTCACCTTTGATGGATCGGGGGATGTAAATAACTCATATCCTCCTCCCTGACCTTCAGTGAGTGACGTGACCTTGTTGCTAGCCAGCAACTAATAAACTATTATCCAGCAAGTTTCCAGCGTTTGATGCCTGTCTAGACAAAATCAGAAGATATCTCCCGTCATGCCTGATGGTAGAACCTGCCTCTCATCATCACTACTTCAAGGATCTTTAGGAGAATCCTGTACATGGAAATAACATTAAAGCAGTGTGTTGTATAAAGGCGTGACTGTAGCTTATCTCAAATGTACATCATTGCACAGCAGAAAAACACATCAAAAGTTACTTCAAGTTCATAAACGTGATCAGCAAGGCACTGAGGGGGAAAGTGATTTGAAGTTGGAAAAACAGCCATTACTCACGATTAATGTGTTTATGAATAAAAATATTGGCTAATGATTTAAATCCTGTTTATACGAGCTCACGTCAAGGTTATAAAAGAGCCTGTCGTAGAGAAAACATGCATACTTTGTTTCTTGAGCAAAGGCCAGATAGATGAAGCCTTTACCTAAAGTTTCGTGTTGAAGCCTATAAACTAAGTAATGTAAATTTAGTATTGAAGTCCCCTCTAATTCAGATCGTTTCTGAATACATGAATTTACTCGAAAATCTTTGAATAAAAATTATAGAAGCAATGGAATAAATATGCTTGTTTTTTGTTGTATACTTTCCCCAAAAAGAAACGCATAGGTGATATCAATATGTAAACTTTCAACCGGCGCCTCAGAGTTAGATAAACTGTCGCAGGCATTGCAAGAGGCATGGGCCAGGATTCAACAAGGTCGAATTCAAATACTTATTCAGTCCATGCCGAGGCTGTGCAGAGCAGTTTTGGGTGCTCATGGTGGCCACAACAGACACTGAAGACAACGCCAAACTTGTTTCGGACGCCGTCACTTATTGAACTTTTTATAGGCTGAACATGATAACAGACATTCATCTTTTATACTGTGGAATTTGGCTGCAACTAATTTAGAATTGCATGTGTTATCTCACTTTGAAGATTAATTTCGTGAAAATACACCTATGCGTTTATTCTTTGGGAG